ACAAAATTTGATGATTCTAAGCCAATTATATAAGTACCCGAAATATTTAATCATAGTAATATAAATTGAAAAGTAGGTCACGGTGACCTACTTTACAGTCGACCTACTCCGAGGACCCAAGATGCATCAGCTGCCAAATTTTGATGATTCCAAGCCAAATAGTATCCGAAAATATTAAATGCAGCCAAAAAATTTCAAAAATAGGTCACGGTGACCTACTTTTCAGTTGTCATACTCCAAGGACCCAAGATGCATCAACTGACAAACTTTGATGATTCTAAGCCACTTAGTACCCGAAATATTTAATTAAAGCCATAAATTTTCAAAAGTAGGTCATGGTGACCTACTTTTCAATCATCTTTCTCCAAAGACCCAAGATGCATCAACTGACAAAGTTTGATGATTCTAAGCCAATTAGTACCTGAAATATTTAATTATAATCATATAAATTGAAAAGTAGGTCATGGTGACCTACTTTTCAGTCGACCTATTCCGAAGACCCATGATGCATCAACTGAGAAAGTTTGATGATTCTAAGCCAATAAGTACACAAAATATTTAATTGTAGTCATATAACTTGAAAAGTAGGTCAAGGTGACCTCCTTTTCAGTCGATGTACTCCGAGGACCCAAGATGCATCAACTGACAAAGTTTGATGATTCTAAGCCAATTCGTACCTGAAATATTTAATTATAGTCATACAAATTGGAAAGTAGGTCACGGTGACCTACTTTTCAGTTGACGTTTTTCGAAGACCCAAGATGCATCAACTTACAAAGTTTTACGATCATAGGCCTTAAAATGTCCAAAGTATGCCTCTAAAACACTTTGAAATCGAATGACTGCAAAGTTCAAAAAATAGGTCACTGTGACCCACTTTTAATAAATATGTTTTATGGCCCCAAGACGCATCATCTTACAGGATTTAATGATTCTAAACCTCTCAGTATTCGAATTAATGACCTTAATTGATTTGAAAAAGATTAGCCATAAAATTCAAAAAGTAGGTCAAGGTGACCTACTTTTTATTCCACATACTCTGGGGACCCAAGATACATCAACTGACAAAGTTTGATGATCATAGGCCTTAAACTGTTTAAAATATGCCTCTAAATCATTTTGAAAAAGAATGGCCTCAAAATTTAAAAAAGTAGGTCACCATGACCTACTTTTGAGTCAATGATATGAGGTCCTTAGATGCATCAACTGACAAAATTTGATGATCCTAGTCCCTATAGTAAGCAAAATATCAACATTTTAATAAAATGTAATTTTTTGTCATTTTTGAAGTGACCTTGAGACCATGCCCTTTGCTCCAGGGTAAATCCCCATGCAAATTTTATTCTACAACATATCCTCATCCTTTTGTGTAAGAAGAGCTAAAAATAAAATACATAAACAAGTTCTTACATGCAGAGTGACTAGACAAGTTCTTACATGCAGAGTGACTAGATGTGATACTTGGGAATGGTCTTATCTAAGAACTTTAAACTAGTCACTCATCCAGAAAATGTCATTCAAATCCAGTATCTGAAGAAAGTTTAAGAGTGTTCACCCCCTTGATGCATCATCCATGCAAGTTTGGTTCAAATAGGCCTTATAGTTTCTTGGTAATGGACCTGCTCTAAAAACTTTAACCTGGGCACTCATCTGGAAAATGAAGGTCATATCCAGCATCTGAAGCAACTCCAGTATTGTACATCCTTAGATGTATCATCCAGTAAAGTTTGGTCAATATAGAGCTTATAGTTACTTGGAAATGAGACCTGCTTCAAAAACTTTAACTTGCTCCAAAGACTTTAACCTACTTCAAAAACATAAACCTGGTCATTCTTTCGTTAAAATTGCAGCATCTGAAACCTTGACTGGCACAATAAAACATACTAGAAGCATCCTCCATGCATCTCTGATTAATATAGGGCATAAAAGTACTTGAAGAAATCTGCTCCAAAAACTTTAACCTGTGGCACCGACGCCAAGGGTATTACATAACTTTGTTGAGGTAAGATAAAAATGCTCTTTATGAAGCCTTACTGCTCTACTTTGATATGAGCAAAGATTTTTTTTCTTCTTTATAAACAAATTTCAATCTGGTGCACATTTAGAAAATAACCTTGTGATAAAACTGTATGCATCCTGCTAAAATTTTTCTATATGTTCATTGAAATTGCATAATAAACCTTTCATAGTTTAGCGGGGGGAAAAAAAGACTAAAACGATCTTGTTAAGTATTTAGATACAGTTTATTACATTTAGTTTTGAACAATCACATTCTTTTTCTATACGAGAAATACCTTTCACCATCTACAGGCAGAATAAGTTGAATTCATAAATTAATATTTATCACAGACAAACAAGGAGCACAAACATCACTAATGCCTTTACATGAGTGGTGCTATGATTATAATATGTTAAATGCCACAGTTTTTTTCCTGTAATAATACAATAGCCTTTCTCAATAGTCAAATGAGATATAGTGCACCATGGGCAGCAAAACTATATCTACATGAAATATTTTACAATTGTTCAGAATTTTCCATTTGAGAAGGAATTCCTAATTAGCATGTCTTTCTTTGCTATAAATTGGATTTCTGGTACAGTTTGGAGATTTCAGAGTTTTTCAAAAAATCTATCTCACCACCATGAGTACATAGAAACTACTCTAAAATAAGCATATTTGGTAGCAAGAATTTGTTCAATTCAAGCAATATAGAGACTGCAAAATATTTTGTAACAGTACTCAATAATGTCATTGTCAGATACCCACAGGGGATCTCGTCTTTCACTTATCAGCCGTGGGCAAACTCGCTGAAGTATTGTCGTTTATAATGCAAATTTGTTGATTATATAGACAAACAATCAGAAAGTTGGAACTCTTCAATTTTGAAAATATGTTTATAAGTTTGCTATTTATGGTAATATCGTGACGCAGTAAAAATTTTAAAACTATAAAAGACACATTGTACATGTCACTGGCATTAAATACCATTCAGGAATGATATAAGAGTACCTTTTTCAAACTGGTTGGCGAGTGGATTTGTTTGCAATCGGTGTGTTAACTATGGAAAAGCATTTGTCATTGCCAAACGTACATATGTAATGTTAACTGTGATTCATTGACATGCCATCGCGATTCTGTGCAGCAGCCAATCAAACGACCCATTAATGATATTAATTACATAAGACAATATTTCGGCAAGTTTGCCCACGGGTGATGACTAAAAAATGAGATCACCTGTGGGTATATGATGATGGCTCAATAATGGCAAAATACATAAATAAATTGCAAAGAATTCTGTATTGCACAACATCCACAATATAAATTGAGAACATACATCTCAATCTGTTCTTTGTGAAAAAAAATCTATCACACTCACTAGCTTCTGCCCTTAATACAATTTTTTTTCTTCCTCTGTTCAAAGATTGTGGAATTTAAACAAACCCTTGACATATGCAATATGTGTTAAGGCACAATAAAATAAAACATGGACACTGCACACAGAGAGACTGAAAGTACAGTCCATATTACTTCATTATATACATAATTCATTATCCAGTTCATAATTCAACAACTCACAACAATATTGAGGTGTGTGGGTATCCCTAAGTTGTAATGTTCACCTCTAGAACTTGGAGCAAAATCATCCTCGGGAGCCATATGGCCAATCTCGGCCGTGGGTTTCCGACGATGGAGCAAAATTAAACTATAACAAAATTGAGCATTAAACAGTTTTAGATATGGACCTTACGAAGCAATTATGTAGGATTGTTGAACAAGTATCCAGGTGCAAGTCCTTTAACTGAGCTATGAACAGCATGAACATGGTAATTACTTGCAACCAATGAATACACAAAATTTTACATAATTGCTAAGACTGTGGAGTCTTAGTTTCATCATGTTCATCATAGTCAAATTCATTTATCATCTTAGACTAGAAACAGACCAAAAAGGTTTACAAAAGTTTGAATCCTGCACATTTCAACTTTACATATAGCCTTACTCAAATATCCCTATCTGAAAACAAAAGTTTTTTTTAAAGGTATCACAAAACAAGTCTATCACAATAATGTACCGATACCTTAGTAAATAAAAGGTTTATGGGCTACAAAGCTCACCAGAGTCCAATATATTCCTATGTAAAATTTAGACAATCTATTGTGGCCCCATCTTACCTCCAGCCCCTCCCTACCCCTAGGTATCATGATTTAAAGAAACTTGAGTCTGAGGATGCTTCTATACATATATGAATAATCATGGCTTTGCTGTTCTGAAGAAGACTTTAAAAGATTTTTCCTATATATTATTCTTATGTAAAACTTTGATTGGCCATTGTGGCCCCATCCCACCCCTGGAGGTCATGATTTGAACAATTTAGAATCTACACTACCTGAAGATGCATCAGTATAAATGTGACTAATTATTGCTTTACTCTTCTTGAGAAGAATTTTAAAGACTTTCCTATGTATTCCTATGAAAAACTTTGATTGTCTATAGTGTCACCACCCTACCCCCGGGGATAATGATTTGGACAAACTTGAATCTACACCACCCCAGGAAGTTTTCACATAAGTTTCATCTTTTCTGGCTCAGTGGTTCTTGAGAAGAGGATTTTTAAATGACCCCATCCATTTTTCACTATTTCTTAATTATCTTGCCTTGGAAGATGGTGTGTCACTTCATTTGAATAAATTTGAATCCCCTTTACCGAAGGATACTTTGTGCCAAATTTGGTTGAAATTGGAACAGGGGTTCTGGAGAAAAAGATAAAAATGAGAAATGTTTACAACAATGACAAATAGAGCGGAGAAATTTCGATCAGAAAAGCTCACATGAGCCTTTAATTGTAAATAAAAACAACATACATGTAAACTATCCATCCAAGTTCACACTACACTGTACTTAAAATTCTTTCAAAGACTCAAATGTTAAAGGCACGGTAATTGCCAGTATCCAGTTGCATTTAATACAAATAAACTCTGAGATATTTTCATATGAGATTCAAGAGTTCGAAGTTTGTCAAAGCAAAATAAACCTAGACATGACAGCTAAGGATAAGATTAATCCAACTAAGTATAAATCGATATGTTCACAACATGCAATACAAACCCGGATGTCTAATTTCTTAATAGTTTTACACAAAATTTTAACTTAAAGGGGAAGCAACTCTTTGCAAAACTGCAAGATGCTGTGGAAGACCTTACATAACCTACTGAAACTACAAGGCATTATCCGACATGCAAAAAATTGAAACATTTTGTATAGATGTGTTGCAAATTAAAAAACAAATGTCAATTCTTGCAAAAATCATATAGCTTTGCATTTGTTCCATTCTAAAAATGTGTTCTTAGAAAAATTATTGCTTCTGCAAAATGAATAATACAAAAGAAACAATGAGGTGTTTGACATAGGTTCAAATGTACTTAAGTTGTTCAAACAGAAGAATGAAATAAAATATAGATACATTATATATATAATTATGAATAAATCAGCATGGCAACAAAATCATTACGATGAATTGTTGAGGATGACAAATAATCATATGAATCCACTTTTATTTCAATGACACAGTGTATCAACTAATTCCATGGCACTGGCTCCAATACTCTGAAAATTCTGATTCAGAGGCAAATTCCAAGATCTGATCAAATGATCAATAACTTATTGCCCAATCACAACACTGCACTATAATATCAACACCCTCCAAACATTTCTTGAGATGCATAAGTCATGTAAAGGAAGCCATCATCATCTTTTTCATCTCTGTAAACTTCTGCCAGTGTCATTGACATGCTTGAAATACTTTTGTTGTTCACTATGAGATAAAATGCTTGATTCGAGTTCAGTGACATACGATTCCTGGAAAATATATAGAGGATATTCAATGTTTTGTAGATGAATATGGAATTTATTTCAAGAGTGGGACAGGATTATTTGATATTTTCACGAGTGCGAAGCACGAGTGAAAATATCAAAAAAAATCCTGTCTCACGAGTGAAATAAATTCCATATTTATCTACAAAACATTGAATTTTCTGTTTATTACATTTTCTTTCATTTTCCCTTTGCCTCTGTCTTTTCTTAACACAGTGTCATAGGCTTGACGTCATAGTTGAGCGGTTGAGACGTCATAGCTTAGAAGTTGTGTGTCAGATTGAAAACATTACATAGCATGGATTTTAGCAACATATTTAGGAAGGAATTTGCTGTTTTAGCTCTATCAAGATGCTTAGTTACTATCTCTATCTTATGACAGGCCAGAAATTATTTTTTACTTACTTTGATATCCTTTCACACTGTGAGAGAATAACATTTTTGGTATCCTTTCACACTGTGAGAGAATATCACTTTTATTCAATAAATAAATCACAGTATTTCACTGTTGAAAATGTAATAAATATATATATATAATCAGCTGTCACTATCCAGAAACATTTCAATTCAGCAAGCATATTAGAGTACATACATGTATACTGATTCAATTAAAATGCTCCACTGTTCATTTTGAACATGGAAAAGTCAAGATTATAACTCTCAAAATCCAATGAGTAAATTACTTAACTGCTTAATCATTTTTCCTAGAACTGTTTACTTTATCATTACAAATTTCCCAAAATATTAAATGTATATCAAAATCAGGGTTGTAAATGGATTTTTTTTTTTTACTTATAAAAGGGGCATTTTATTCATGTGTAGTCAGATTTATTGCCTACCTAATAATAGAGGCAAACTGTGACATGGAGAGCTCTTGAGGCACGAGGAATTTTGTTTTATCCAGCATCGGAAGATGCTGCTCCTTATAATATCTCTCTACGATCACCTACAAAGACACAGAATACAATGTCAATATATACCACCACACAGAGATGTAATTATTACAGCGACTTAGATAACTGCTATCGGTGTCACACAAAGTGTACAGATTTAAACAAGCTAAAACCAGTACAGTGTGGACAGATTCATATGATTATAGCTGGCTGGTGCCTGTCTTATTCCCAGTGTATACTGGCTGAAAACCATTTTCCCACAGTTGTTGTTTTTATATTCTTTGCACAAGACAACAATGAATCAAACCAAGTTGTTAAAAAAATATATTTGCAAACTTAGGTAATCTATTTAACACAGTTTTCAGGAACAGTACTTTTGTAACAATTACAAGGTTTTTTTCTGATATGCATGACCATTTTATAGCATTTTCTTAATTACTTGTTTCATATTTTTTATACAAAATAAAGAAGGCAGAACACTTCCTTTAACTGACTTCTTAACTGAAGGGAAATATTGCATGTACAACATAACACCAAAATCTTTTTTAGACTGTAATTTCCAGTGCCAATATGCTTAGTAAACTGTCGATGTCACAATGTGTTTGTGATGCAGACAAAATACTTTTAGAAAATATTGGTGCTATCGGACTGTTCAGTACCTATAGTGCTAGAAGAAAATCAGATATTAGTCGTATTTATGCAAATTGTTACACTGAAAAGTATTTCATTGTTTTAAAATCAAATACCAGGTACAAGTAATACATTACTTTCTTACAAGATGACTGTATAGTATTGCCAGATGCAGTTATGTTTATCAGCAAAAGCACACTTCAATTAATTACAAAAGACATATCAATATTCCAAGACTCTACTGTCAAAATCAAAAAAGGAGAAAAAAAAAAAAAAACATCAGTAACATACCGGTACTTTTGTAGGGAACTTTGATCTTATGCCTACAACCTCTTCCTTCCGCACAGCTGAAAATAATAATTTACCTGCAGTTAATGAACTTTAATGAAACTAAAATAACTAAAAGAGCAAATTAACTTACCAATACTTTCTACATAAAAGTAGAACAATTTTCAAAAAGACTTCCCTAGGTATTAAGAAAAAATCAATTTATTGCAAGATGCTTCAACAACTTACACAGCTGACGAAACTGCATTTATAATCAAATATGCAGTTATGTACACATTAATTTTCAATCCCCCCCCCCCAAAAAAAAGAAAGATAATAAACAAAGTGAGAGAAAGAGAGACAAAATTAATTTTCATTTCTTTAAAACATTTTCATTCAGTTTTCTTCAACATCCAGGAGCTTCTGGGATCCCAACAGAACTCCATCCTGGACCTGCTGTGGCCTGAAGTGGTCCCCAAGACCCCTTTCTAGTACATTTGTGTACACATCTTTTTTTTTTAAAGTTATACCCGTTAATTAAATTAAAATTTTTCAACAAGTTACTTATTTGTAACCCCTGCCCTTCTATCACTTTCCTCTGTATGGAACATTTGTCCAATATAACAAATGGATATTACACTGTATATCAATACTTCTTTAAAAAATACAGAAAATTAATATTTTCATACATGTATGTACCCCAAAAGAAAACAGACTGATTCTAAAGATTGAAAAATATGTCCAATTATGAAAGTAGTCCCATCATTCAAAATCCTCTCAAACTTTAAAATGTCTCTTAAGAAAAATTGATAAGAGTTTTACTTTAAAGTTGAATTCATGGTTTTTTTTTTTGTTTAAATATACCCACACAAATTTGAATTATAATCAGCTCAGGGGGTAGCAGACTAAGAATTATTAAGACACACATGGTGTATGACTAATCATCTTATACCTGGTATTATTAGAGATAAAACAAACATGTATGATCTCAAATCATTAAACTTCAAGTTTTTTGATGCCACTAATAAAGCAGGTATCAATTATTGTACCCTGATCTAAAGAATAATGACCTTAAAGAACATGACCCTATAAATGTGTCAAAATGTAAACATCCTTTAAATCACAAAATGTCAACAGGACACTGCCCCCTAATATCTAAACCACTTGACAAAGAGAAATGGAAATTCAGTTGCTACAATAAATTATGTTAGCTCATTACAAAAATGACAATTGCAGTCCATACAGAGTAGTTCTCTATTAAACCTATACATGTTCTCAAAATTAACATCATAAGACCATCACTAAAAATACTTTTGTTTGATGTACTCCAACCCAAATTTTTCAAGGTGGGTAGGTAGGTAGTTTTTTTTTTTTTTTTTTTTTTTTTTTTTAATTTTTTGGAATTATCTAACACCATGATAAATGTTATGACAATCAAAGATTTACCATGAATCTTACCCAATCCTCATCAACAGTTTATATGTTTGTTAAATGCAGCAAAACCAAAAAAAGACATATGGAACCTAAGCAAGTTAGACAATATGTATTTTCCCATTAAAAAAAAAATCAAAAAAATGAAAGTACTTAAAAAATGATTGGGTAGGGGCAATTTTGATGGGTCGGTCAGAGTACATCAAACACGGCCTTATTTCCTGTACAATCTGTGACTTTTATCATTTTGAAGTCCATAATAACATGAGCATAAACCAAATACCACAACTATGTTAAGAGAATACTTAAAATGTTCAAGGTGGCTAATAAAACAAAAATAGAAAATGCTAAAAAAAAAAATTATATAAATTAAAATACATGTATATCACCACCACCCTACTCCTAAAATAAAAATAATTAAGTCAAACCTTATTGTCTCGAACTCCAAGAGTTTGAGAAAAAACTTCAAGATATCCGAGGATTCAAGATATCGAGGGTAAAATACTTAAAGAACATGAGGTTGGGACTCCCAGATTACTTCGACATATCCATAGTATTCGAGATAGCGAAGTTCAACTGTATTATAATAAAATAAAGCAATTTATACACTTCTAATTTATTACTGTGACAGTGCACACATAAAACTTTTGTCAACACAGCCCAGTCAGGCTAGCAATGGCAAACTTTTACTAGCCTGAACAGAGTTGTCGAAATCCGTCGGTCCTGTCGGCAAGGCCGGTAAAAATTTGTCTGGACTGATAACTTTTAAGAAAACGCCGGTCCAAATGACTGTTTGAAAAAATCGAGCGTGACGGAAATTTTAAAAAAGGTCAAGATCGGGATGCGCAACTGAAGGTCACAAACACAAAAGAGATGGCCGTTTGCGCGGCGTAGTGACGATGGTCAATTTAACTTGTTACAGGAAAGACATAAAATATGTTATTTATGTCTCTTATTAAAGACTCTCTATCCTAAGAAAAGAAACTTGTGAGATTGAAGGCTGTTGAAAATATTAAAGGGCATTTTGGTGCTGTTATTTATTTTCCTTTCTCAGCGTCAAAATAAGGTACATGTATCTGGTCTGACAAAACTTCGTCCGGTCCAACAGAACATTTGACTTTGTCAGACCAAATGTCTGACAGTGATTTCAAAATTTCGACAAGTCTGCGGCTGAATCACTATCACTTTTTACTTACCCCCCCCCTTTTAAAAGTGTGAATAATAAAGTGACACAGCTTTGTTTCATTCCTTTAGATTTAATCAGCAAGGCTCATTTTTAATTTTAGGAATTAAATTTCTATGAATCGTTCTGTTCTGTCAATTTATTGTTATGGGACAATACAAAGATATTTGATCCTACATAATAAAATTGTTTTTGTTTTACACATCATGGATGCAGTCTGATGTACTAAAAAAACTTTATCTCAATATCTTTGTAACTGAGTCATGGCTCACCCCTTCCATCTATCTATTCATTTTAAAACTCACATGATTTATTATAATTCAAAGCATTTCTTGATGTCAGTGACAGTATCTGTCTCAACTTTTTCTTCACATTCTTTAGCTATGCAAATATGGCAACATGAAACAACAAATCAAAGCATGGAGAGAATTAGAAAGATAAGAAAATTAAAATCATTGAGAAAGACATAAATATTCAATCAGGATAATCTTATGTTTCAGGCAAAATTTTTAACAATCTGCAAGGAAATTTTAAATCATGTTACAATAAGAATGCCTATTTCTTTTTTGCATGTTTAGCTTTTTTTCTTTATATCACTTTCAAAAAAAAAACATTCACAGAAAAAAAAAATTATGCTGGATATTTTAATCAGCAACATGCTTGAAAGTAGTATATTTGAGTGGGTGCTGTATTTGAGCTGTATAGGTATGGACAATGAACATCACTTGTGACCTTTTTTTTTTTTTTTTTTTTAATACATGTGCAGATAAATCAATGATGATGAATTATTTGTTTAAGATACTCGGGATAATTTACACAGTTTGAGATATGTGTGCTGCATGTTGTACAGTTGTGTCCTTGCTTCTACTAGGTGTACATTAGGCTTAAATTTAGGATATGTCACATGACATTATGTACCTGAGTCAAGGTCAACATTACGCTTCAAGCGATTGATACTAATTTGTCTGATTAATCTTTCACATTAATATACCTTTTTCTCAATGCATTAACAAAATAAATCAATTTTTTAGTTAATGTAGACGAGACCATGGGAATAGTGATACTGTCCACTCCTCTGAATAATTTAAGACATACCAAAAAGAATCTATAGTTTGATAAATTAAGCAATTTATTATTTATTTATTAAAAAAAAGATTATATAGTCAAAACCCTTCAACATAAGCAGACTTATAATTATTACTCTCTTAACAATTTAAATTGGTTTTTCATCAAAATACATATTCATCAGTCATATTAGAATGCGTGCGACACTTCATTTGCAAATCTCGCCATGAATTATGCTGTAGGTCTATTATTGTTTACTGCGTTTTAAAGGATTTTTGTCCCAATTTATTCTAAAATGTTTGCTTTGAAATTGTTAATAATTTACTACAATTAACTGGATACCACTTATAGCTGAACTGCCAAGTATCGATACATACTGTATTGAAATGCACTACATGTATTGATCTACGAATATAAATAAATATCTTATGTGCCAGTTACCTACATATAAACTTATTAAAATCGCCAAACCATATGAGACCATTTGATTTGACACAACGTTCAACAGGTGATGATGGGACATATGACACAGACAAAAAATTCTTACCAAAACTTTTCCTCTGCTTAAAAGTTTTATACGTATCTCCATTTTTCTCTGGCATTGTCACCGTTAATACCTTTTACATGCAGAGACGATGTCACTGATCAGACCTTACGCTAACTACTGTTTGACACTATGTTCCTATCAGAAATGGCGCAAACAAATGACGTCGACGATATAAATCATTAGTAAGGTAAGAGGTGTTCCGAACACGAAGATGAGGATTTCCCGCGAAAACTCAAATCAAAGCACGCTTCTTGAAAAGGGAGAGTGGAGGAGGAGTTTCCTCTCTTCTGAGCCAATAATAATAATAATAATAATAATAATAATAATAAATATATATAAATAAAAAAAGAATCATTTTGATAGCTTCTGGTGTAATATAATGTTGAAGTCATTCAAATATTAAATAAAAAAGGTCTAGCTATAACGTTATATGATAAATAATTTTTTTGCTCATACTAGTTAGCCCTTGGATCAGGTGAGCTTTTCTAATCTAAGATAGTTCGATGTCCGTCTGGCGTGTGTCGTCAATAAACTTTTCAACGTCTTAATTCTCAAGAGCCACTGGGCCAATTTCAACAATTTGTCAAAGCATCCTTGGGCGAAGGGGATTTTTAAAAGCTTGTACACAGGAAGTGCCTCGCCCTGTTTCAAGGGCAGATAGTTAAAAATTAGTGAAAAATTAATGGCATCTTAAATCTCCTCAATAACAACTAGACTAGAAAAAAATAGAACTTATGTTAAAACCTTATTACATAGTGTAGATTCAAGTTTGTTTAAACCATAAGCCCGGGGATATGACAGGGCCACAATGGGCGATTAAAGTTTTACATGGAAATATTTAGGTAAAATATTGAAAAAAAAATGTTCTTTTCAAGATGAACAAAGCCCTGATTAATTATATTTATATGAAAACATTCTCATGTAGTGAAGATTGCATGAAGTTTGTTGAATTAATTACCCCCGGGGCTAGGGTGGGGTCATAATGGGCGATCAAGCTATATATCTCTTATTAGGAAAAAAATCTTTGTTCTTCTCAAGAACAGCAAAGTCATGATTATTCATATTTATATGGAAGCATCCTCAGGTAGTGTAGCTTCAAGTTTATTAGTCCCCTACCGGTGAAACCGGAGGGGACTATAGGTTTCCTCTGAGTCTGTCCGTCCGTCTGTCTGTCCGTCTGTCTGTCTGTCTGTCCGTCTGTCTGTCTGTCCCTCTGTCTGTCTGTCAGTCTGTCCCACTTGGTTTTCCGCACTTTTTTCTTAAACGTTTGCAGATATTGAACTGATTTTTGGTATGTGAGTGTATCTTGATGAGTTACAGATCACGTTTGCATTTCGTTCCCCTTCATTGATTTTTGACGGAATTACGGCCTTTTCAATTTTTACGGGTTTTCCGCAATTTTCTTCTAAACGCTTGTAGATATTGAGCTGATTTTTGGTATGTGGCTTTACCTTGATTAGTTATAGATCAAGTTTGCATTTCGTCCCGCTTCATTAATTTTTGACGGAATTATGGCATTTTCAATTCTTAACGGGAACCAGATTACACTTGCCGGTAGGGGACTAGTATTGCTAATGCAATACTCTCAGAATGCTTGTTTAAATCATGGCTAGGGTGGGGCCACCAAGGGCGATTAAAGTTTTAAATAGGAATATATAGGGGGTGGGTTAAAAACTTCCCAAGAATAGCATGACAATGATTGGTCTTAATACGGGAGCATCTTCAAGTAGTGTAGATTCATGTTTGTTAGTCCCCTACCAGTGAAACCGGAGGGGACTATAGGTTTCCTCTGAGTCTGTCCGTCTGTCTGTCCCTCTGTCTGTCTGTCAGTCTGTCCCACTTGGTTTTCCGCACTTTTTTCCTAAACGCTTGCAGATATTGAGCTGATTTTTTGTATGTGAGTGTATCTTGATGAGTTACAGATCACGTTTGCATTTCGTTCCGCTTCATTGATTTTTGACGGAATTACGGCCTTTTCAATTTTTAAGGGTTTTCCGCAATTTTCTTCTAAACGCTTTCAGATATTGAGCTGATGTTTGGTATATGACTTTCACTTGATTAGTTATAGATCAAGTTTGCATTTCGTACCGCTTCATTGAGTTTTTGACGGAACTATGGCATTTTCAATTCTTAACGGGAACCAGATTACATTTGCCGGTAGGGGACTAGTATTGCTAATGCAATACTCTCAGAATGCTTGTTCAAATCATGACCGCCTGGGATAGAGTAGGGCCAAAATGTCAGAGCGATCAAAGATTTATATAGAAATTTTAATATAGAAAAAGATCTTTAAAAATCTACTCCTTAAGAACAGCACAGCCATATTGATTGTATTAGTATGGAAACATCATCAGGTAACTACTTATAGAATGAAGTTTGTTTAATTTTTGACTCCCGGAAGTAGAGTGGGGCGCACAATAGAAGGCCACAAGAAGATCAAACTTTTACATAGGATTGTATATTAGAAAATCTATAAAATCTTTTAAAGCACTTATTAGTTCAATAGATATGGAAGTAACTTCAGTAAGTGTAGATTTAAGTTTGTTCAAATCATGCTCCTCCCAGGTTTTGATGTAATCGAGACAAGAGGCTCATAGGCCACAACGCTCACCTGAGTCAATATGACTGCTGTTCTTCATCAGCAGATTTTTTTCTACTATACATTCCTATGTGAAACTTTGATCACCCATGAGGCCCAAACCTACCCCAAGAGGTCATGATTTGAAAATACCTAAATCTACTCTACATGAGGATGCTTTCATATCATTGTGACTAATCATGGCTTTGCTGTTCTGTGGCCCAAACCCACCCCTTGGGGTCATGATTTGGAAATACTTGAGTCTACACTACCTGAAGATGCTTCCATATATATATATATATATATATATATATATATATATATATATATATATATATATATATATATATATATATATATATATATATATATATCATAGCTTTGCTGTTCTTGAGAAGATTTTTTAAACTCTAAACTATATATTCCTCTGTTAAAGTTTGATTCCTATTATGGCCTCACCCTACCCCTGGGGATCATGACTTAACAACTTGAATCTACAATACCCGAGGATGCATCAAATCAATATGTCTAATCATGACATTTTTCCTATAAACTAGTATTCCTGTGAAGATCTTTGTTCCCCTATTGTCGCCCCACCAACCCCCAAGGTCATAATTAAAAAAAAAACACACAAAAAAAACACTTGTATCTACACTAAGTATGAAGGTTTCAAGTACGTTTCAGCTTTTTTTTTTAATTTTTTATTTTTTTTTTTATTTTGGCCCAGCAGTTCTTGAGAAAATTTTTATGTGATGCGACCAAATTTTCACTGATTTTTAATTATTTCCCTCTGAAAGAGAGTGTGGCCCTTCGTTTGAACAAACTTAGATCCCCTTTACCTAAAGATGCTTAGTGGTAAGTTTGCTTAAAATTGGCCCTGTGGTTCTGGAGAAGTAAAAAAATGTGAAAAGTTTACAGACGGACGCACAGACGACAGACAAAATTTTGATCAGAAAAGCTCGTTTGAGATTTTAGCTCAAGCGAGCTAATAAGATATTATCTTAAAAACGACCAGATTTCAAGCGCAGATATCCAGAAATTATGCAGTTTAATGGTGGTGGTGGGGGGGGGGATACCCACTAAAATCCATCTCAGAGTTGTTTTGACCAAAAAAGTAAGCAATTTCTCAAAACTCGAAAAACCGGCCTCTTTTGTGCGTGTATCGTAACAAAAATTGCATAAAAATAAGAAAGTAAAATAATTTTGTGTATTGTGCCAATAGAGATAACAGATGCTAATTCTATAAATAAAAATAATGAGAGATGATGACCACTAAGGGTTTGACCTTTTCACCTATACGATTCCAAGAAAATTTCTTGGAATGCGGTGGTTTAAGTTGTTTGTCATATGATATATTTGGTTAGGAGGAAGGAGCAACCAATAGTTTTAAAGTGACCAGAGGTCAGTTGTTGGTATAAATTAGCTACATCAATTAAAATTTAAAGATTATGCAAAGGATAGAAAATGATTTTTAAAGTGCATTAGGAAATTAAAGAGTGTTGGAGGACAGAATAATGGTAATTAAAATTCAAATTTAAAGTAATTATTGCAAGTATCGAAGGAGTTACAAATATGGAGATGTAAAGCTACAAGGGTACACCTGGTATAAAATGAGCGGCCGGGCGGACACAGTTCAGTCGGAAACTGGATTGTGTCTGTCTCTGCTTACATTTTATACAGGTGAGATCATTTTGTAGACTTGCGCGTTTTTATGAAAATTATTAAAATTTTCAGAAGGCTAATTTTATTTACAGGTTAAAATATTTTATATTATAAGTAGTAATGTTTATTATAATGTTTATTATCTTGTGTAAAATTATTTCTTGTCATCATTAATAGAAAGAAATGGATTGTTTAATTTAATAAAAGTCGGACACTGGATTATGTCTGTCTCTGCTTACATTGTATACAGGTTGGGCAACAGAGCCACTCCCTAACACCTGTGGGCCGCTCTGGAGAGGAAAGGTCCTCAGATCTTGAAGGACTTTGGAATTGTAATATTCCAGAGTCATTTCGTAAAAATAAAAAGTTGACTTGGGTCACTCCGACCAAGCTCAAAGATTATGAGTTATTCCACTTGGTGTGTCCTCTCACTTGCATAGCCAGAGATCCCGGGTTATATGAACAAAATGCATGATCGGTCCAATGTCATTCGGGACCCTGCCTCCGGTTATGATTACGTTTTGGTTACGTGTGTTGGGGGAAGGGGGCGACAAGTCGATTTCTTTCATCTCTCTCTCTCTCTCTCTCTCTCTCTTTATTGTTTTAATGACTCTTCTTTCAGGGTTTGGGGGGGGGGGGGTTCTAAGATCATCTTTTCCTTAGTTTGATCCCTCGCTACATCCTCGCAAGACCACGGTGACTGGGTCAAACAAAGATAAATGTCATTGAAAGTTTTCTTCAGGTCCTGAATGAGATTATTTTCAAGTCTACAAAAATTAATGGTCCCATGGGTCAGAAGGGGACAGACTTGTGGGTCAAAATTAAATCTGAAACGGAAAATATACGGAAACAGTATTTAAAAATGTTATGAAAAAAACTCATTTTTGTTC